GGGGGGGGGCGCCTAAGAGCGAAAGAGAAGCGAGTGCAACAACAACAACAACAACAAAAAGAAAGAACTTGGGATAAAAGAAACAACAGTAACCAACCAAAACCGAAAAAAAAAGACTAAAAACTGAAAAGCGTGGGGCCTCATGGAAGCCTGGCATCCGGTCTTGTCGTGCCCAATCTCTATGGGGCAGTGCTGTTGGCAGGAATCGGGGCGTTTGCTGTTTCATCCTTCGTCTTCTTTGTTATTATTGTTGTTGTCTTCCTTCCAGGCGCGCAACGGAAAGAAAATGGGCACACTCGCAGATGGGCACGCATTGGTGATGGGTGCCCGTCCTCCGCGGCACCACTCTGCCGGCGACAGCGGCGTGGCACGGCGCCGCTCACATTTCGGCGGCACAAGAGTGCAGCACTGAACAACATCAGAGCCGTATGTGTTGTCCCATGCATATTCAGTTTGCCTTGGGGGGAGGGAGGGCGAGCACACCGTCAAGGTGCGTTGGGGTTTCTTGATGCTCTATTTGTTTCTTTTCTCCCATTTTCCTTTTGACTCGATATTCTTTAATACATTTGGACCAACAACAACAACAACAACAAAAAAAAGCGAAGAAGATGAGGACAGCTGCCGCATATGGTCTGGAGTTTCAGGCCCGGACCATCGCACCGTTTTACCACCCGACAAATGGAACCATTGAGGCGCACCGCTTCCTCGTGGGAACATCGTGTTTCGCGGGGGGAAACAAGATTCACCTGCTCGAGTACCAGGACGAAACCAAGCTACTCGAGTGTTCGGCGGTTTGGTTTCACGACGAGGAGGTGTTTGGGCTCTGGAGCTCGCCTTCACTCACGGAGCCCAGTTTGCTTGCTGTGAGCTCGCCGTCCGCGTCACGCGTGTTCCGCGTGCCCGAGACCCTTTCCGGCGAGCTGGCGGAGGTTGCGGACCTTGGCGCTGCGGCCACGCAGGTCCTGTGGGACCTGGAGGGGCTGCAGAATGAGGTGTATCTGACGGTGGGCAACGCCGTGCGGGTGTGCGCGCTTGGCGGCGGCGGCGGAGGAGGAGGAGGTGGTGGGGGCGGCACGGTGGTATCGAGCTTTGATATTGAAGGCTGTGCGCGCATCACGTACGCCGCCCTAGACCCTCACCACTCCTCGGTGTGCGTTGCAGCGGCTGAGGGGCTCGGGCTCCACCTGGTTGACACACGGAAGAAGACGCCCGTTCTGATTGCTGGCACGTCCAATCTGCATGGGCTGGGCACAATTCGATGTGTGGACTTTAGTAGCTGCCAGACGAATCTCTTATTGACGTCTGGCGATGATGGCTTTGTTTTGTGGCATGATATACGCATGACCAAAGCCCAGTACACGGCTGAGAGGAAACGTTATTTGGGAGCCCACGATCACGCTGTCCAACGAGCGCTACTCAATCCGTTTCACGATGAACTGCTGATCACATGTAGCTCCGACCACACAATGATGTTGTGGGACACTACAAAGAAGGATGTGAATGAAGAACAGGCAGTGTGCTTGAAGAAACTTACCGATTTTGGAGACTCTGTGGTGAGTGCGTGTTGGAGCAGCAGTGGCCCCTGGGTATTTGCGGGTGTGTCATACAATGGCAAGGTCCTTGTGGATGACGTACCGAAAGAGAAGAAAATGGGAATTCTCTTGAAGGACAGCTGAGGTGCGTATTCGTCACGCTGGTTTCTTTCTCTTGGTGTATGTTTCTGTGAGTGTGTCTGTATGCCTGTATCTCTGTGTGTATCTGTGGTGTGGGTGACGGCAGGTCCTATGCCACGTGAATTGAGAGGTGCTGTTCTATTCCCTTTCCCATCCTCACGCCAACAGGCAGGTACACACACGCACAAATAT